TGTGCTGCAAGAGTAAGACGCGACGCGCGCGGATGCTCGAGACACCGTTACCAGCAGAACGCGGCGCCGGTCGTTATACACTCAACATTCTACAATCTACCCTTTCTATCGGTCCTAATTTATGTTGAGTAAGGCAACAGCGCGAGCCCACCCCCGACTTGCTTTGCTAGGAAGCCTCGGTAATGTTTCAAGTGGCTTGTCTGTTGTTAATTTACCCCGGTGGGGCCTTGATGGGGGTCTGTCTCTACCCGTTGCCACGCTCCACTCGTTACGATAAATCGGTCATTATCTATACTATCTACGCGCCATATAAGCGCCGCGACTTGGGACTACAACGGCGTGCCGTTGAAAATTTTCGATCCGCCTGCGAAGATTGAGCATTACGACGGTTAAACGAAAAAGACACGCGTAAAAGAGGCAATCGCGAGGCGAACTTCTTGCAATATAATGACATTGCTCTCAATTTATTAGAGTAAGCGCAAAGAGACACAAATATATTTCTGTTTCAATCTCGCCAACTTGCATAGCTAAGACTGCTTTCTTCATTTTTATAATTTTGTGCATTTTCTTTTACTAAAAGACAAAATTATCTATTCGGTCGTATATTGAGATCGTCGCAATTTTTGACATTTTGACTCGGCTGCTGTCCATGCAAGCGAAACGGTCGTAAACATATACGAGGACGAACCCTTTTCCGCGTATCCTCGCACCCCTTCGCGCCGAGGCAGGCCGACTCGGGTGGAACATTAATATCGCGAAATGAAGCTCATTTGCATATAAATAAGGCGGTGGTGGGGCACGACGATGGGGCGAGGGAAGCCAGGATGAACCGCGCCGTTGCTCTACTGCACCCCCCTTCTTTTGCCCTCCCTTATACCCCCGAGTCTCGACTCCCCAGGAACCCCACCCTGGACTAATTACACTTACAGACAAAGCGGCCTGAACCGAGGGGTCGAGCGGATTCTATCTCTTACTCCCTCCCTCCCTCCCTCTCTCTCTCTCTTTCTCTCTCTCTCTCTCTCTCTCGCTCTCTCTCGCTCTCTCTTTCTTTCCCCTTCATAACTATCTCTACGATTCTCTCTCTGTCAAAAGGGCTCTCTGTCTACCTTTCCAGTTGTCTCCGTTCTTGTCCTTTTCATGTAAAGAGCAGGTCCTCTGCAACTGTCTCGCTGGGTTTCCACTTTCGATAACACCCTTTCGCAATGACCACGGTGATAATTGCGACTTCCCCACAAGATTCGTTAAAATCTTTAATCGTGATGGAAATTCATCATTCTCTCTGATTTTTTTACGTCTTTTTCTCACGTGTTAAATGATTTCAAATAATTATTGATCCCGATTGATCGCGTATAATTAGCGATATACAAACACAAATCAAATTTGCAAAAATTAAATCAATCAATTTTGTAATATATTTATAAACAATGTTTATCGCACACTGTATTTGTGGCGGAATTATTCCATTAAATAATTTAGACGCTCAAAGAGATTTGTGAAATTCAAATCAGGTCGAATCTATAATTACTACATTTGATTTTATTTAAATGTGTATTTAAGGCTCAGCTTGTGTATGCTCTATGTTTATAGAAAAATTTCCCATTTTGATTTCGGTAAACATGCGTCAATTTTTCATCGGAATCTTAACTGATGTGTTAGTTAATATGGTAAATAATTTATTTGCGTAAAAATGTGGAAAAAAAGCACCTAAATATTTCTCGCGTTTTTTTCGCGTTCGACCGAAGCGAGCGCGCGTAGTAAAATTCACATACGAAGCCTTCTCCTGCCAAAAAATCGTTCAATTTTCATAACTGCTAACAGTACCCTGCTCGACAAATCGATCGCCAGGGCAGAAACAGCCGCAACCAAAGATGGAATGGAACCAACGCCGATGCGGCGCGGCACGACGCGCCGCTCTGCCGCGTATCAGAAAGAGAAACATAAAAATGCGTATTACCGATTCCGGAATACGGCCATTAGTCTGAAGTCAGCGCGGCTATCGTTTATTAAGCGCAAACAGATATTAATGTATTTTTACACGCGGCCACGAGTTTTGTTCTGCCAGCCACTGCCGTCGCCGCCGCCGACGCCGGCCACCGTCGACGCCGCCCGACGCCGCCGTCGACGCCAAACTACAGCGCGGGGTTCGAAGCCAAATCCAATTACTTTTATTCGGGCGAAATGAGTGCAGCTAAGTCATTAATACTAATCAATGGACCGGACTCGGACCAGCTAGCTAGAGCGTACAGGTCCGGGCGTTCCGCAGGAATTACCCATAACTCAAACGGCTCGAAATGACTTTATTGCAAAAAACTTGCGCTTTGCTACCGGCAGCCGCGCCGCTTCTCCTCGTATACGTATTGTTAGAGACCCCCGCGCCGATAAGTAATGTTTATTGTTGCATTTCCAACGACCAACCGAACGCTCATTCGCCCTCTTTCCTCTTTTCTCTCTCTCTCTTTCTGATCATGTATTTTTTTCGTGCCTTCCACACTGGTCGTTCACTGCTAGTCCCCGCTCGTGGGAGCGAGGGGGGTCCAGCCTGCTTTTTCGCATTAGCGAGATGGCCTATAGACGCGGGATTTTTTATCGATCGCGCGACCGATTTCTCCTGGAGAATTTAAAGAATCGGCGAAATCAATGGCGTGGGCAGCACGGCCGCTCCTTTCGTACGACTTGGTTGAGTAAATCGATTCGTTGAATGTTTTTCCTGAGGCGTGGACTAAAGAATCAGACGCTAATTACAAATTATAACTTGTTTTCCCGATATTATATAGAATTATCGATACCAATTTTATTGCTTTGTGATTATGTATATTTATAGATGGTAATAAGAACCACAAAAATGCACAAAATTAGAAAATGTCTTGAAATCCGAGAATTGCTCATAATTAAAAAAATTATTTAATTTATTTCTTAATTACAATGTGATTAGTTATATATAAACATCACTTTTATTTGTATAGATATAATGAAAAATACAAATATTTATTTCTATGAGCAAAGCATCATCCAATCGAGAAAAAGTCAATGGTCTCACACAAAAGCCGCCGGTTTATGCGTCGCGATGTTGCAGCACTGATTAATTTATGCGAAATATCGAAAACTCGTAAACATATGTTTCTACGGCTGGCTGTATATCGTGCGCACTTTTACAAGCAAAATGGTCGAGCCTGTGCATTCAACTAATCCCCCTCGCCTCGTCCATTTAATATAGGGTGGCTATACTGGCGGTATAGCCGTTTACGAATTTGCGTGGAAAAAAAATTGAACTGCCGCGCCTCCTATTTTCGTTCGTTACCTATCGACCAGGCTTTATCTATTTTTTATGCAATGAAATGCCTCGACCAGCGACGCGCGCGGCCCATTGTGCGACTTTGACGAAAATTCAAACCGGGATTACAAGCCGCACCCAGAGGATATCTTTTTTTTTTTTTTAAATCAACCTGAATGTAATGAGATTGTTTGACAGTATGCAATTAACACGATATTTGCGTGTTTTATTCCGTTCTCAGTTATTCTCACGTCGGTTTCACGGTCTATTCTTCGAAGAAGAGATGATAAAAAGAATGATTTATATACACTTGCCGAAAAGATTCGAGTTTATTGCACTGCCTTAAACCTATCTTAAAATACTCTTTATACGCGTGAGTTTGTTCTGATATTCACATCAATGTGTATAATTGGAGCAGTCATATGTCCAAGGTAAAAGGTGATAGTCACCGAAGAAGCTTACCCAGGATTTATTCATGAATCCAGTTATCCGTGGAAACTCTTTTTCCCGAATTACTCGAGTGTCGAAGCTCTAAAACGCTTAATCTGTATCCAACTATGGCGATACACGTTCCGGCATATTTCCATACCATTATGCAAAGAGGCCGCACCGGTAACATTACTCTCCGCGGCACAACTACCACCACCACCATCGTCGACATACACTCGTGGTGGTAAAGCATTACGGCATATATACTCCATCGATTTATTATAATTTAGATTGTCTTCTAAGAACCTCGGCTATATGTGCACGCGTACGTATACACGGCACGCCTTAATGTGCCGGGCGTTCGTTAATTATTCCGCCGGTATTCTGTAAATATGCATGAATTATATATTTGCAGTCACGCGAAAGCAGAAAGCGACGAGAAAACGCGTGATTAATATATTGTTTTTTTTTTGGCCCATGTAATTCTCGCCTTCGCGTAGAATAACCTTTTGCAATTATTTGAAAGATTTTTAGAAGTTACACAACGTATGTCGCGCGCGACTGCATCAAATTGGTATTGATTAAATCGGGCGGTTGGTTCGATGACCAAGTTAATTCCAAAAATGTGTTATTGAGCGTGAATAACTAAATCACTTTGCACGCGTTACTGGATTATGTTTATGGGCAAGGACCGATACCAGGAGATAATACAGACAAGCTCAATTTTCATTGCCATGCGTAAGTGAAAATTGATATTCGACAATGATCACCGAAGCATCGTAAGCTTCATTGGTTTGTGTATTGCGCTAATTATTTTCGCTAATCTACTTTTGTATATATTTCACTTTCTATCACTGTTTCTTCTCATATTTGCCAAGCGCGCTCTAAAATAATATATTTTAATAAATATTAACTATATAAATTATAAATAATTATTAATGTTTTTCGCGTTAAACGTGCCATCACAATAAAAATTGCTAGCTCATGTTAAAACCTTTACATAGCTGTTTGATTGATTTTTGCGAGGGAAAATATGATCCACACTATCCCATTTTGAAAGCGATCAAGAGAGTGTGTAATCTTTTAACAAAATAATTTTTATATTGGTATACGTTAATTGGTTAATTAATTAAAAATATTATTATATTACTGATATAATTTTCCAGTATCATAAATTATCAGCATAATTCGATATAGAAGCATTTTTACAACTTTTGCTTACCTCTTATAAACTGAAAGTGGTCCAGTTTCAAAATCTGATCTCTAATTATATATTTATAAATCTATATGTCTGTTACAGGACAGCGATAGGAGTAGCAGTGGAAGCCCCGAACCGGCGACAGGCGGTGGTGCGCTTCACGAACATCAAATGATGATAGATGACATGAAGAATTCACGAAAGAGACGACGGAGCCCATCACCCGAAAATCTCCATCAAGCGAAACGTGCGGCGGTTGCACAAGCACATCTAAACGGAACGAGTAAGTACAAGATGTCTCTCCTTCGCGAAACTATATAAATTTTTTTTGATATCGCTTTCTCACTATCGAAATTTTATGCGTAGTGGCCGGTATGGTGACACTTCAGAATCTCCAAAATTTAGCGAATTTGCAAAATCTTCCACAAGTTGCGTCACTGGCCGCTGGTCTTCAAGGGATGACGGCGGGATTGACTAATAATCAGTTAATTAATACTCCCTTGAATCTGACTGTCAGCTCGTCAGGTAAGAAATAATAGAAATATAAATTAATCTAGTTTCTTATGTAAGAATTTAAATGGATATAGAAGCTCGTGCGGTTAAAGTCGGAACGCAGAATCGAGGATTGCGCGAAAATTAAATGACAAAGGTAATCTAACGCGGTGAAATTGTTAATTTTCATTCCCAGGTGGAACGATACCAACAGCCTCGAGTACGACGGCGGCTTCCCATCTTCTGCCACCTAGCTCGGCTCCAATGGCGACGTTACCTCAGCTATTATCTCAACCGCAACCGGTTGCGATGCCTCAATTCATCCTAACGTCCGGTCAATTGGTTCAGGGCATTCAAGGGGCTCAGCTTCTTATCCCCACTTCGCAAGGTAGGTACAATTTCAACATTTCCCGAATATATATAGTTGACTCTCTCTCTCTCTCTCTCGTCGTACATTTTACATCGTAATATTGACCTTGATTGTGCCGTCTCGAACATAAAATGTAGAAAATTATAATAATTTCAATTATTCAAAATTTCATCGACAATTTCCGTGCGTAAAATCATCGCGCGTTCGCTGTGCGAAACACATAGTAACCCGACGATGTGCCAGCGCATAATGTTGTGCAATCAAGATGTGCCGATATATAATATAATATCGACTATCTCTGACCAGCTTGGACTAAGGCTGGCCCGTCGTCCATACTTAGTGGCCCTAGACTGCCTCGGCGAGCACAGGGCAAACTCTGCAACTAATTTCAATGTATAATTAACGTCTCACTACCCCTCTCCAACCCCACGGATCCCACCCCGTTTTACCTCCTTTCTCGGGTTCGTCCTTCCCTCTCGCCCTCTCTCCTTCGCCCCCTCCCTGCTTCTAACCCTAGCACTCACTGGACATCGCAGCTCCGCGGATTCGGCCGCTATTATATCGATTGCGGTCCGCGCTAACTTCGTTTCTACCAAGTTGGGTTCCTATTCTGGCAATTGAGAGAGAGAAAGAGAAAGATAGAGAGAAAGAGAGAGAGAGAGAGAGAGAGAGAGAGAAAGGAAAGAGAAGAGAGATAGAGATGGAGATAGAGCGTACGGAACAGGTAGAGAACGAGAGGCAGAAGGAGAACTTTGGGATTCTGCCTAAGTGGATTGAAGTTCGTGGATATGGACCGGCCGCGGTAGGATGACGAGTTACGTAGCGGCAAATAATGTTTGCACTGCTTTTCGGCTCAATCGATGGTAACTGACTAACGCTCGATTGGTTTCTGATAGACATCGAGTATCGGCGAGGATGAGTCGAGGAGTGCTCGAGAGTGCGGTCAATAGGTTGTCGTTCATAGAAATTATTGTCCGCGCAGGAATGTCCGCGGCTTTATTTAAAGTGATATCAGCCGCCCGAGATTTTATTCGCGTCGCGCGTGAACGATTAAGATCCGAAAAGCGGCAAGGATTAAAATACACGAAAGGTCATGCATGTCCTATATATATGTATACATATATTTAATTAGATAACTGTTCTCGTATAGATATAAAATATAATTTTTTATGTTATACTAAATGCAATAAGATTAATGGATATATCATTACTTTTTATAATTTTAATTCTGGCTATGTGATATCATAAAAATATAAAGCCTATTGTAAAAGAAAATATTGCTTTCTACGGACACCGTAATAACTATCATATTTTACGCTTTATCTCTAATAATGATTGTCCGACACCTACATGTTATTTACTTTCTCTTAATTCTATCTATAACTGTTAATAAATAATATATTGTACGAAATAGAAAAAGATGCCTTTGCTAGCTTTTCTTTTCCAAATTTAAAAAAAAATGTAAATGGATTTTTATCGAACCACGCGACATATTCGAATAATGGAATACATAGTTTTCGCGATACGGAGGAGACCGCGGCGAGGTCAGCGGAGCAATCTGAATAATTCCCGATACCGAGCGATCTTGTTAAGAAAGTATTCCGTCAGTACTATTGTGGCATTCTTTCTGCTAATTAGACTGTAAAGTGTCCCGAGCGGTTCCGTCTCATTATGAAGTGCATAATTGGCGCAAAAGAGGAGCATTGCCATGCCCCCGCAGTGAAGACCCCGCTAATCTGTCCCGCTACTACTGTATTGTTCACAGTCAACGGAAAAACATCATAGGGAACGACCGGAGCAGTCGTCACCTTTGAACGAATCCGTTGTGTCCGCCGCATCCGCTTTGAACAGATTGGCCGCCAGCAACGGCGAGATTACTATCACGACAACGCATGGACCAGGCGGTGTTGGAGTAAAGGCTTCCCCGAGCAATATGCATAGCCCGAAGGAGGAGGAGGATGATCTCTTGAACGATTCACCGAGTAAGATATAGCTTATTCTTTTTTTCCTTGCAATAACTATTAATCGACGGGGGTCGAAAGTCGAAATGATCTGTGCGGTTTACGGGTACTTGGCAGTGCGTTTAAAATGACACATCAACATGCGCGCGAAAATGATAATCGAGGCCCCGAGGGTAACCATGTTGTTATTCCTTGACAGCTTTTAATTACAACTTTTGCAGGGGACACCATCTTTCTATATCGCAATCATCTTGCCTATACGAGAAGCACAGTCGCTAATGTCGACAAGTAATTGCATGCATAATGATCTCTCTTGAAGAAGCAATTACTACATGCAAACGCGCTTCTTATCTTTATCTTGTCAAATTGTCACATTCCAACGGATATCTTTGACAGGACGTTAATCGCGGCTGCGCATGATTGTATACAAATTTGCAAACGTATATTTCTGTTAATTGAAGCGCACACATTTGATTTTTCGATCGGTTTTACTCAGATGCTTCTCTCCAACAATACAACAAAACGTTATTCCTGTTGTCGTTAAAGAAGCGATTTAACGTTTAAACGCGCATTTGTAGCTGGCGAATAATAATATTTCGAACAACCATCGATCGCTCGATAACTGTAATAGGATATCGTATAGCACTGGGCTCATTACGGGGCATTAGTTCGTTCCTTACTGCCTTCTAGGAAGCCATAAAGATTCCAGCAGTGCGCGTAACCTCGTGTTAGCTGACAATAATTTTAATAATTTACAATCATTGCGCAGACTGGCACTTCGTCATTCTGACGCGGTGGAATAATCATTCAATGCATGAAGCTAACGATTCTCAATTGCTGTTTAGATGGAAGCATTCTACACATAAATATTTGCCTTTTGTTAACCATTCTCCAATAGAATTTTAATGATTTGCATAAAAAACAGGATGCAAAATCACAATTACGAAAAAAATAATCATTTTATATAATTTCTGCTTTGTTGTATAATTAACATATTTCAAGTTTTTATATACGTGAATTTATAAGTAATTAACAAGCTTTTATCAAAAATTTTGTCATTTTTATTTTATATATTAAATTTAATGCAAAATTTGAAACTTATATAAAGTTTTAAATAAGTTAATCAATAAGCGCGATTAGATCAAAGATAGAGTTCTGTTAAATTAGTCGATTAGTTGCAATCTCTTATTTATTGAGCTAAAGTCGAGGCTAATGTACTCGCAAACTTTTTGTTTGAAACGTGCGAAGTACTTGGGGCCTCGATCGACAATTAACGATCATAGAAATATCGTCGCAGAAGAAAGATTTGCAGTTTATTGCGCGGCGCAGAAACCAGGCGGACTGGACGAGATTACAGAGTATGTGGGCACACATTTCTATTGCGTGCGTATATATTCGGGATGACAGATTTACGAGAGAAATCGTTGCAGCTCGAGCTGCTTTAACGAAACTGCGTGGTGTCATTAGCCTTTTCGCAAGAGTTTCGATGAATCGATTAAAATGTGCGCTCGAATGACTGGCAATGAATCCCTGGGTTGTGTTCAAAATGCACCATTAGAATCATAAAAGCAATCACATGCGTGACGCAAGAATGTTTATCACATTAACCCTTGAACCACGAATATTTCATCTCGTTTACAATTGACTCGATATTGTATCTGCAACTAACTTGTGAGGTGATTCATACAATCAAGGATTTGTTTAAATAGCTCTTATAAAAAAATTAAAATCTTTGATAAATAATAAAACTATCAATAGAAAATTTAAAAATGGATTAGAAATATTAATTCGAAAATCTCTTGCTTAGTATTGCTGCTAATTTATTTAAAATTAATTCAGCATACAACTAGATTTAATTTTTTTTTTGCTAAAAATTTTAATGCCAGTAAATCGCGATGATTTTATATAGCATTGTTTTTTTTATTTATCAGAAAAATAGGAGTAGAACGTTGTATGAATTTTTATTACAGACCAGCCAACGATCAATGAGGCCACTAACAATGTGGTCGATGGGATCAATTTGGACGAGATCAAGGAGTTCGCGAAGGTCTTTAAGCTGCGCAGACTGTCTCTGGGTCTGACACAGACTCAGGTCGGGCAGGCCCTAAGTGTCACCGAAGGGCCCGCATACAGCCAAAGTGCCATATGCAGGTTAGTTCCCGTTGCGTCGTCCTCCTCGCGTTCGTCGAAACGGACGTCGCTAATGAAAATTCAATAATAAGGTAGAATGTAAAACGACAGTGTGCCAGGTCACTGGAAATGGCGTAGAAAGGGTTGGAATTTGTTCACAGAGTAGCAAAAAGAGAGATAGTTATCCGTTCGTTGGTTTTATAATAGTATCTTCCATTAGGAATAAACGCCCGAATGTAAAGCTAAGAAAATCGCGAAGCAGTTTTTGTTTTCTTCCTCGCGTGATAATGTTTAACAAAATTAAATTATGCGTCTGATTTATCGAAACGTTTGAAATTCGTTCAAAGACTGGAAAATTTTCGATGCAGTTTTTGCAGGTTTAATTATTATTCAATTTTGAGGTGCCATGAAAGATAAGCTTATTTATACCGTAATACATCACGATGGTTCCTAATTTATGCTGCAGTTTAAATATAGATCTAAATTATACTAATTTAAATTATACGTATCTGTAAAAATTTTACAAAATTATTGCGTTCACTGTAAACGTACAATATTTAATAAATAAATGTTTATCAACATGGGCTTTCTAGACTGTCATGCTATTTATTTTCTTCGTCGATTGAGCGCGTCTTGGAAATATGAATGGGAACCACCGTGGTGATGCCGGTAACAAGCAGAAAGAAAAAGTTTATAACTCTTAGAAAATTCTTATCGTATCAACTAACATAAGCATTGGTGATTGTTCCCCAGTGCCCTGGCTACCCAGATGTACGCTGCCTCGCAGATTGCCTCTCAGCAGCAAGCTACGTACGTTCACCCCTCTCATGCGCTACTTAATTTACCTAAAAATCTAAAACTCGAAAATCCTTTAAGAAATCGCAGTTATACCCAACGATGGAAAATTGAGAATCTTCCGACGGTCGTGAGAAGGAGAAAGAGATTATAATCTAATTAATCAATCGTTAAAATCAACGACGTATCCCACGTAAAAATAAGATGGACGATAATCGTCCTCTCTTCTCTCCTCATCTTCGTCACTTGCGTTCGTCCGATTCGCGGTCCTCTCCTGCTTTACAATCGGCAGGCGTATTTGGGTATAGCTGCACAAACACTCTCACTAATTTCTAATTTCGTTCGGAAAAGAGATGCGCGAAAGGAGCACTTCTAAAATTAACTTTCTTCGAGCCAGGGCATTGGCAAACTTGGGCATGATGTCGCCAACGCGCTAAGAATAAAAGAATAGAACAAAGTCAAAGGATTCTCGCGGTTTTTAACGTTCGTCGAGTCTAAAAGCTCTAGATTGTTTCACTATTAGTCCAAGAGACTCGAACTTTCGTCCGCACGAGAGAAGCGTTTGCGTAGCGCGTTGGCAACATCATACACGGCATCACCAAACCTTAAAGCATGCACGCATTGTCAATGTCCTGTTATTGAATCACAATGCATGTCTCTTAGTGCTCCTTTAGTGGGACAAAGACGTAAAGGCGAGAAATAAATGCTCAGAGAAAATATTTGAAAGACTTAAACTTCCACAAATACATATTTATATTGCGTACATGTTATATTATATTTAAAGTTAGATTTCATCTTTTTTTTTTTCATCTTTTTACGTCTTTGTGTCGCCTTCTCTCGATACGCACATCCATTTCCTTTTATCATTTTTATCAATTATTCGAGAAATGGAATCCAAGCCTTATTCTTGGCTTTAGATTCGAAAAGCTGGACATTACGCCGAAAAGCGCGCAGAAAATTAAGCCGGTCCTCGAGAGGTGGATGAAGGAGGCAGAAGAGAGGTGAGTAATATATTTTTACGATACTTTAAGAATTATCGTGAACACCGTGAGAAGACGTTTCCTTCTCGAATTAGATCTTCAACATATAAAACATAAACGCAACGTTATTTTCGGTCTCCGCCGTATAATCGCTCTGTAATTAATTTAAACAACAACTGAAGTTCTCTAGTCGCGCAGAAGTCTCTCGATTACGAGTCAAGTTCTAACGTTGTATTTGTGATACATGATTATTTCGCAATAGTCCAACGCGACCTCGACTTTACGGTTTGCGCGAGAGCGTGCGAACGTGTACGTGCTAATTGGTAATTCGCTAATTGAATTCACCTGATTAATTGCGGATCTGCGTCTAATAAATACACGGAATGTTAATTAGAATGGAAGAAACCGTTACAGCGCGATCGCTATTCGCTACAGGCAGCTACGCGGCAAATGCGGCCACGAATGCTTTCGCTGTGTCGCAAAAGATCCACCGATCCTACTTAAGAATCTCGGCCTCGGTGTATTTCCATAAGGTGTAAATTTTACGAGCCGATATATAAAATCTAATGAACTTTATGCCGCGAGCTAATCAGGAATCCATGTAGCCGCGTTACGATTAAAAAGCATCGCGTAATCAGAATGCTAACACACTCTCAACTTTTATAGCGTGTAACTTTTTTGAAATTAAATTGGATTAACGTCTTATCACACACAAGTTAGGTGATACATTATTATTATTATTATTATGTTTTTTTTCTGATTTCTCTATTTTTATTATCACTTAATTATATACAATCTTCGTGTTACTCAAAAGAGGCTGGATATTCTACGTGGTTCCGATTAAATTTCTCATTTAAATACGTCTGCATAATTCTTAATGCGAAACAACATTGGGCGTATTCATATGAGACTGTTAAAGATAAATACAATTTAGAATTGGGCGACATTTAACGATATAAGAAATATTAATATAAAAACGGGTCGATCTTTATTCTTTCTTGAAATGATGATCATTACGCTTCGATCCGCGATAGAGAGATCCGCGAGGAAGCGCATCACATATATAATCGAGTCATTCGATGACGGAAGTGGCGACGGATGGTACAGTCGTTTCTCTTTTTCACGGGTAAAACCGGCAACAACAATGACCCATCCTGCATTCGCGCGGCGTAGAACTAAGCGTCGACCGTGCGCCGGCCGCGTCCGGGAAAAATGAAAGCGGCTAGTTTATGCGGTGCACGTGCACGATTTATCTGCCGAGTAATTAAACTGTGGACTAATTAAAATCAGGTTTCTGATGTACCTCTCCCCCTGCGTCTCTCCCTCCCCTCACAACCGCCGTCACCTCGCTCTTACCCGCGGCAGCGCATTCCCTTCCTCTCTCTCTCTCTCTTTCTTTCTCTCTGTCATTCCTTCCACTCGCAGCTTCCATCTTCCTTCTGTTTTCGTCCTTCTTCCTTCTATCATTCGTCTAAACCTCTCTGTGTATATTCCTTTCTTACACCTATATATGCAATAATGCTTTATACACCCACGCACGAGTTTACACGCAGCTTCCCTTGTCCTCCCTCTTTCTTCCTTTCTCTCTCTCTCTCTCTCTCTCTCTTTCTTTCTTCGCGTCTTTTACGTATTAACTCATTTATTTCATCTCTTTCTTTTCGCCCTCCCCTTCTTCCTCTTCTTGCACTCGGCGTTTCTCTCCATTGCACTCATCGGTATATACCAACGCATACCAACGATGTGGCATCCCAACCCCGTCGAATCGGTCGCGTCGGTTCTTCGCGCTCTCACACCGACTTCTCCATTAGCATATTGTTTTCGCGAATTCGACGAAATATTACCTCGCGATGCTAATGTCTCCCCGTGTACTTTTTTTTCGACTCGACAGTTGGTCATTCGGAGTTAAATTAAAAACATAAATTTTGAGCCGGGGCACTGCAACCGTACCTATAACCGTATCAGCACGTCGAGCTCTCTCTCTCTCTCTCTTTTTCTCTTTTTCTCTTTCTCTCTTTCTCTTTCTCTCTGTTCCCACAGCCTCTGTCCCGAACCGCTTCTCATCGCTCACCCGGGAGTCCCAACGGAAGTTCTCCTGTTTACTGTCGCGACCGCGAGCTTTTTCCATGTCGCGCTGTACCACCCGATAATGCTATTCGTCGAATGAAATTACGTTGCCGACTAGATGCACGACGCCAAAAAAGTTTGCATATTCTCGATTCTCAAGACTCCCGAGATCGGAAATTTATAAATTCCTTTTAACTTATTTGTGTGTGTGTGTGTTCGAAGCTGTAGTAATATCGCGAGAAGTATAACTACGACCGACGAATTCTGCAACGGGAGACATAATGATAAATTCAATAATTATTATAAAATCATTAAAAGATAACGTACATTAGTTTAATTAAACATTTTAATTAACCATCAGAAAATAATTGAGAAATAACGAATGTGTCGATTTTAACGCAGAAACTATTCGAGATTTAATGAGCTCATTGGATAATGAATAAAATAGAAATTGAAGTTTAAAAGCGCCACGACTATTCGATTGCTAATTTTATTCGTGTCGACACCGACGCCGACATTGCCGTCGCAAGGTCTGCTTCACGATACATGGAGTAAGTTCGGCTCGTGAATCAACCGAGCTGTATACCCGGGGAAAAATCCAATACTAAATGGGATATTTGCAACCGAACGTGTCAGAATATCGTGACCCTGGCGATTTTCTTTTTTAATCAGTATCCTATTTCGCGTTAACGTAATTACGAGTATGCAAAATGGTAAACAAAATTTTTTTTTTTTCATATTTGATTTATCTATAACAATATTTCAATAAACTGCAAGAGAGAAATGCTGAGCTCAATATGCAGACCCGTGGATGTAATTAATTATTGCAAAAACGTGGTGATTAACTCAGACCTTTAAACAGGATCCTATTTCGCGGCTATAATCGCAAACGAGAATGCACAAAATTAATCATAACGGGCGTGATAACGTTAACATGTAATCGTCGATGATGCAATCTTCCGAATTTGAGCAAGAGTAGTGCATCTGATTCCAGGTACAAGAGCGGCGTTAATCATCTGACGGACTTCATCGGGGTCGAACCGAGCAAGAAGCGAAAACGACGGACCTCCTTTACGCCTCAAGCTTTGGAACTGCTGAACGCACACTTTGACAGAAACACTCATCCCACCGGTTAGTTGTGCGCGCCATTTAATTTATCTCTATTATTAAATAAATTTTTCACTTTTAATCTTGTCGATTCTTTTTCAAATCTGTCTTACTGTAATACATTGAAAGTTTCAATTTTTCTCTTTTACAGGTAATGAGATCACGACTTTAGCGCATCGACTAGGATACGATAGGGAGGTGATAAGAATCTGGTTCTGTAATAAAAGACAAGCTTTGAAGAACACGGTGAGGATGATGTCAAAGGGCGTCGTATAGGGAAGGACTACATCTACCGATCAACCGAGCAACATATGAGAAAAGCTTCAAGCTGAAGCGAGCGATGAGAAACACGTTTCGTGAAATTTTTCAAAAAAATCTCGCGTTTCTTCTAGTAATATAAATAAATTAAATCGCGCGTGAGAGAACGACTTTTTCGTGGCATATTACGGAACTAAGAAGGAAGAGCATTCAGCGAAGAAAGACTGTAGTTATCAAATTGGATCCGGCACGGAAAGATCGTTCTAGATCGAGGCGAGGTCCTTCGAATATTGTGATCGCAGGTGTATACGACATCTATATGTAAATAGCTTTAATCTACGAATATGTAATGTATACATGAGTCGAATATCGAAAACTGATAATCTAAAATCGTTGTCTCTCATTTGGTACCAATCCGTCGCGCGCTTCCAATTTTCATAGATATATATCTACCAGAGAATACACACTGTGACTAACTGATCCAGTTTCGAGTTTCGAACAAACAAGTTATTGGCAATTGGTAAGCATCAACGAACCGAGTAACGTAGGATTCCACGACGATCAAAATTACGTGAAAAGTTTATCGAGCAACGATAGAAAAACCGCTCCCATACGTCTTAATTAATTAATTGCTTGAGTGTGACACATCGGGACACGTGCGTTTCTCGGAACACAATCCATCAAAATCGGGCGGAAAGGTATGTAAGTCGTCGCACAGATAATAATTAATAAAAAATTAACTATACCTTCGAAACGGTTATTTACGAGAAAGCGGCGAACATTTTAACAGCTACGTGCAATCGATACATAATCAAATGGCGTAACGATCGAGAATGCACTCAAAATCGATGGGTGGCAATCTTTTGCGCGCAATAAGAACTATAACTAAATTCGAGAACCGAACCTTCAAGGAAATTAATTACATCCGATCTTGAAATATCGTTGTCGCTCGTTGAGTTGCGTAAAATAAAAATATCGCTTAAATAATAAATACAAAATCTCATCGCCTCTCTCTATTGATTATATAATATCAAATCCCTTACATACATACACAATTAAAACGAGCAATGATAATATTTCTGTTATAATTTTGGTAACAGATCGGTGGAGAGTTTTTAGTGCGCGCGAGATCTGTAAATTACACGTGTATCTAGAAAAATCAATGAAATTCCTTTAGTGACTAAATAACGCAATAACGTCTCTGAAAGTATGCTATAAACGATTATATACCACACGCCGCTCCTGTGAAGTTGTATTTGTTAGTCCTGTAGGAAAGAGACGGTTAGGGACAGACGAGATTCGAGTTTCTGCAAAACTAGTCCGTAATAATCTGCCATATAAGACGTATACGTGTTAAACGAGCACGCATCCTTCGTTCCTATACATATATGCGCGATCCGCTTACTCGCTGAATAACGATGAAAGCTCGGATGAAAACTTCGATTTTACTAGAGCTCGATTCCGATCTGCGGGATACGACGGGAATCGACGAACATAATTCTTCGATTATGAAAAACGCTTCTGTATGTATGTGTGTATTGTTCCATATTTCTATCTTGATTTTATAAATCGTATTTACAATCGTGCGAAAGAAAGAAAAGTTGAAGGCGGTCAAATAATATTCTATTCGTGTATTCCTTCGCGAATGTAGATTCGTGTTGCGACAAATATTATAGATGCGTAATTTTGAAATCGAAGAATTATTTATGCATTATTACTGTGTCCCTTTTAACAAAAAGAAAAAAATCATAATCATAAATAAATACATAAAAATGGCCATGTAAAATCGCCCTACACGTCATAATAACTATTAGACGATTGATTTGCATGCGTCGCTACATACGAACGCATTATGTTGTGACGCAGTCATTTAGCAACAAGCGATCGACAACCCGCAGTCGTATTTCCGCGTAAAAGGATATTTAAGTGAAGCCCATAAAAGTACGGTTTTCTTAATATTTAGCAGACAAGTACGTTTAATGAATAAGATTGTGCATAAAATGTACTTCATCCTCTTTATATAATGGGCTATTCGCTACGATAATATCGTGAAATCTTTAACGTGATGCGTAGCTAAGGGCGCAAGGGGTAGCCTGTACATATTACGATACATACATTGTAATATTACAATTAACTTTTATTATATCATAGCTACAAAATAGCTGAATTCATGCAAAGAAAATTTACATGGTTAAAAAAATAATAAATTTCTAAAAATAAAACATATTTTAAGGTTTTACTTTTAAGAGCCTGAGATGAGCAAAGTGATCTGTTCCTAAAATATTGTATTATACGAGTAAAAGAGAGGATGAGAGAGAAAGGCACGAGTGGGGGTCGGAAAGATATACGATAAAGTAAAACTCAAAATTCAAAATTTTTATTACAGGGGTAGGATGTATATGTTATCCTTTTTGATAAAAAAGCGAAAATGTTTGTACAGAAATATTCCGGTTATTAAATTTTGTTATACGAGAAAGAGAGAAAGAAAGAATGAAAGGGGGAGAAAGAGAGAAAAAAAGAAATAAGAGAAAAAGAGCAGAGCGTTAAACGACGCGCGGTAGTGATAAAAATAAAAACGCGAAAACAGTTTAAGAATCATGTGTATTTTCTTCGTGAAATTGAAATATTCGAATAGATCCTTACGAAAATATAAACATGAGTATTACAAAAAAACATGTGAATTGTATTCGTGAATGTCATATTTCTAAGGAAGATAGATCCACGGGCAAATGTTTTATAGCAGTTTCCAGCTGAATTCTTACTCGCTTTATCTGGTGATTTTTGTAAACTAAAAATAGACAAAAAATAAGAAAGGATAGCCCTACGTTACATAACCGAATAATAAAGAAAAAAATAAACATCCCTAAAAAAAAAAGTCACGTCGAGTTATAAAATAAAAACAAAACACAAATCGATAAGAGGAAACTGCTCCTGAAACATTGCCCAGCGAAACCAAAGTTCCTACTACGTTTTATAAAGTATATAACTGAACTGCAGAAAACACTTGAATTGTAAATACGATGAACGCAAAGTTAAGCTAATAATCACGATACAATCAGCAATTTAACGATGCTAAAATACGACTCGCCGATCAATTGATTCGACATTGCCATTGTCGAAGAACATCGATCAACCTTATTATGGAAAGAAAATCACGCAACTTGGTAAGCCGACTTCGCCGAAGGCGGGAATCAATTGATTTTGGCAACGAAATAAGCACACAGTCGGCAATTAAGCACATAAGTATACAATTAAACTAAGCAGCCGTAGCTCTAGCTTGAATGTTAGCACCTAGGCACACGATGTAACATTAAATTACGTATTTAAATGAAGGACAAGAATCTTAGCCGTTAAGCGAATACCTGTGTAAAATTTAGTAGGTGTCCACAAAAATAAAATAAAAACATATATTGTGGTACAAATAATAAAAAATCGCACCTATTGCTTTCCGCGATTAAAAAATTTCGTTTGATTTTCAGAAAAGTTTCACGCACACGATTTTTGTAATATATGTTGCATATATCTGATGTGTTATAACTGTGAGGAATGAGAAAAAAATCATTTCTAAGCTATAACTGTACGAGAATTTCTTATCGAATTTTCTCTTCTTAACAATTGTGTTTTAGTTCACAAAATACATTCTCCTTTTTTCTTATTCTAATATAATTTCAGGTACATAGTAGATTTTACAAATTATTTCTTATATATAGCTTATTAGTGGCAAAGAATCAATATTAAACAAGTGATAAGTCAAAAGCATTTCAATTCTATTCTTTTTCAATAATTTTTAAATATATAGCTTTCTAATTTTCCCTTATCTTATTGTTAGTACTAAATAATATCAAAAAATAAAAATGTCAAGAAATTCCCTACAATGCCATTGACTGAAAAGAAAAATACCTACTCTTACGCTAAAATTATTTTTATATTTTGTTGCTTAATCTCTTTGTTAGAAAATTTTATTATTCAAATTTGTTAGTCAACTCTATTAACTAATTCAAAATCGGGCTTGTTGTCAGAAACAGCTCTATTCGTTGTACCTGACCACTCGATAATGCCATAACCGATCATTCCAACGCACAATATTCCGATTAAGAAATATAATTTCGTAAAGGTACATAGATACGGGCTATACACATACGTTATCACTGAACCAGTGGACTCCCACAGGCGGAAGTTGGAGAAAGCTGCCTCTTCTTGACCAGGAAATAATATACCACTCAATGCTAAAATAATTTACAAATAATTAATCTTTTAATCTAAATTAATAACTGAGTCCTATTAGATTTTATTAATGCGAATATATTAATTAATAGAACATTTATTTAGAAAAATCTGTAGAAATACGTAAAACTCGATTGTGTACTATTTGTTGGTATAGTATCATCAGTGGAATACAAAATGTTCATGTCTGTCGGTACAATTATACACGCAGCAACTAAATTAGGAAATTTGATTTAATTATCATCGCACAATAATTTTGAAATCATTTTAACAATATATGGTACATCAATATCAAATGTATAAAATTATTTTGCAATAAGAAATATTTTATTGCTTCTTATTTTGCTTACCGTTAATTTGTACCAGCCAGATCGAATCGCACACACCCCATAAACCTGACACCAGAAAGAAGATGATGCCCTGTTCTGGCACCGGTTTCCATTGTAACATAAAAATGAAAAGACTCAAGTGCAAACAAAAAGCAAAGAACATTACAGGCTTCCTTCCCGTCAACTTCACGATAGATCCCGTAGCGAGCGCAGCTATAGCATTTGTGACACCAAAACATATCATCACGTAACCGATATTGCTAATCCCCCAAGCGCAAGAAACGAATGACTGCAATAAATATAAACCGTTATTGTTGTTTTAAAAAAGAAAATTCTTTTCTTATTTCTAGCATAAGCAGAAACTTAAATGTTTCTTTCTTCTTGTATGTAATTTACTAACTGCGTTGTAATCGGCAAATAAGAATGCCTGCTCAGCTCCGATGAACAATATTATTGGCAATATTAAAAGTTGATTCTTCTCTTTCAACAATTTTAATGTCACGGCCAGGAGTTTAAATCCAGACGTTCCTTTCACCAAGCGAGTTCTGCTCCGATCGTATCTATAAAATAGGAATTATAACGTCAAGAAACTCTTATGCAATATACATATATATCCCCTCTGTAAGTTTTGTGAGTAAAATGTTTTCGTATGTTTGGTAGATGAGCGAGATATAAACGCAGAATTGTACCTGGATAAGGAATCAACGCCGAACGCAATTATTAGACAAGCTAATATCATGCAGCCTAAATAAATCCCAGAGATTAAGTATATTCGTTCTATAGGAGGTCGTTGCAGATTCGGATTTTCGTCTTCTATACCAGATACTCCACAGAAATTTGCACCGCATTTTTCTGCCACAACACTACTGTTTAGAGTTACATTATTGGTAACCGTCTCGATTGAATAGGAAAGAACTGTATAATTATATATATATATATTGATAAAAAAAACATGCAAAAATGAAGAAAACAATTGATTACTAATAATAATAAGATTATTTCATAGATTTTCACACATATACTAGACTGCTAACAGGTGCTTAAATAATAACAGCGATGTGACAAATGGGCAGAATATATATATGTATAGATTGGGTTAATATGTAGTAGTCTAGTAAAATATATAGAAGTCTGTGAATTATTCTCTTGTGAAAAAGGTATATTCACCGTGGAACTTGTAAATGCGTTAAAAGCTTATTAAATATATATAATTACAGACATTACAAAAATAGACATGTTATCGATTATAATGTCAATAATTATTCTATCAAGTAAATGTACTTGTATATTTCAACAGAACGGAAATATAAATTGTTTTAGAATACCAAAACAAGTTCTTGCTGCGACGTATATATATATATATATAGTTTCCATTCGTTAGTTTATATTCTTTCTGATCACATCAACAGCAACTTAATTTTGTTTTCATCGGCGCTCGCGTTTTTATAGCTCAACAGCTGTGCATTCATATGCGCTTCCGCAAGAATCGCATATATTGTAAGCTGTTTACGTTGTGTTACTTTGTTCTGATTCGCGATTATTTATTATTGCATTTTAAATTGGACAATGATTAAGTAATATAATTTATAACCGCTTTATCCAGAGAAAGATCGCTCATTAAATTTTTCATGTTGCTTAAAAAAATTATAAAAATATGATATGTCGGAAATTATTGTACCATAAACATAATTTTTTTTTATGTCTCATATAAAATGACCAGAGAAATCAAATATATTTATAACCGCATTAGATACGAAAATTTAAAAAATAACCGATAAATTAAATTACAATATATTCGTGAGTCTATGAATATTAATTTACATTGGCGGCAATAAATATCTTGTACAGCTTGTTCGTGTCTATGATGACAACAATTCTATTTTACATATATGAAGCATTGCAGCGACTATCAATTTATTCTTACAACACCACTGGGTGATACATAATTAAAATTAACATTTGTAACCAAAATATCGTCTGAGTCGAAGACAGGAATAATTTATATGCAAATATTTTCCTCGTCTAAATCCCTAAGATACAAAGTTGACCATCGCGTATGTCAGTAAGCTACACATGTATTTGTAACAATATTAACCCACCTGCTGAAGATATAAGATTTCCCCACACCTGAGCCATTTGATAGAACATGAAGAAGAGACCAAAGAATCTTGTGACAAGGACATTTGCGGATATATCTGAGACAGTTGAGTAGGCTTCTGCTGCCACAGTTAAATAAGTACACTTCGCGCACCAAAGCGGTCCTCCGCCTAATCCGACCGATAATCCGGCGGGAATCATCGTATAAAATTTTGGGTAAAACTGAGAAGCTATGAAAGGCATATAAGTCAATATGGAAACAGACATTGTCCACTTGCATCCTAACCAACTGGAACAAAAAATTATATAAATTTATTTATTTATTTATTCGTATTAATTAATTACAATGTTCCTTAAATAAAATTTTGTCAAAGTAACCCTAAGATTTGTATTCAAAGTCCGTTTTCATATTCAGGATCGTCTTAAGTATGATCTTAGGCGATCTTACGATCCCATCCAGTCAGTGAAATGGCTGTATCTTAAAACTGTACTTAAGATAATCAAGAATATAAGAATGGACAAAATGTTACGTTTATTAGAAGGATGTATCTAATTTTCACGCAGATACTTCACTCTTGGCCAATGATGGAACCCATGGGTGTTCCATCGACATAATTCTGGGTCAAGGTGAAAACGACAACGCGCGTAATAAAGTTTAGTAGTGTGGAACTCTGTACAGAACTAATCCCCTATGTGTTCCACTTATATATATTGAGCGCTCTCATCGTCTATGATGATCCAAGGCTCTTTTCCGATATATACTTCCCAAAACGGGATTCTCGATTTATTCCATCATAATAACGAGCAAAAGTAATCAGATTTGACGACAATTCTCCTCCAGCCCGAGGCGTGAAAAATTTATTGCGGCAGTCGTCGAAAATATTGTCAAACTGCTATCGTGAGTTATACAGACTTTCGATTCATTATACGAAATCGTATGAAGCAATACAAAGAGATGAGAAAAATATATAAATTATTAAGTATATAAATTAGATTGTCTAATCTTACCTTATGATAAGAGCGGGTAGAAAAATGTTGCTGAAGATTAGACTGCCGTAAATCGCCGATAAAGTAAATGTACCCAGCGATTGATCCGCATTGATAGAGCTCTGTAAATTCGAGGCTCCCATAAAGGCAGTAAAATTCACCATAAAAGCACAACCGATCGCTAGAATATTCCTTATAATTCGCCATCGTTCTGACGGCTCAAAATTCGACATTTGTATGAACCGTCTTGGCACCTCAGTTTTCGTCATGATTTAATCAATGTCCAGTTACTTAGGTATATTTACAGCGCCGATAACACCTTTCCAAAAATATCTGCGATACTCCCTGTGATTTTGCCAATCGATAAAATATATTGTAAATTATTGATGATTTTTCGAAAAACATGAAAATGAAGATATTTATAGCAACCGCGCTCTCGATGTCTGCTATTTATCTAATCATAAAAAACTTATTAGGAATATATACGTTTTATTTTCTGTAATTTGCGATCGAGATTTCAGTCTCAATATATATTCTCATCTGTAATATACATTTCAAATCGATTGAAATAATAGACCTTGCTATCTCCATTGCAATCCCATTGAAAGATATCGGTAAATGATCATGGACTGTGAAATTAAAACTGAAACTGAATATTCACATTTATTCCTGTAATGATCAGCGACACGATTTGCGTAAAGCCAATAACGATTTCAAGGTAATAAGCGAATGTGAAAATGGCATATGTAACATTATGTCGCAATTTGTGATCAATTAGCATCATTTTATGCGTATGAATATTTCACTTGTGCTTTATTACCATATTATAATTTTGGTTTTGATACGTATAGCTGAGATATATAGCTGAGATTTTATATGTTAACAACAAAATTCCCCCAATCCAAACGGAATTGCATAACCATTTTCCGTTTGGCGAGATACACGGCCGTCAGAGCATCGATAAGCAATCTGTTCTTCGGATTGGATATCCTTGCTCCTTTCACGCACCTTAATCGCACCTGATACAATTTCTATTCCGATCATGCACGTCGTTCGGAATATATAACGCGCCGATCGAACTGAAATCCTGTCACATACAAATAGATGCACACGTTAACGTATCGCAAGTTTATCGACAAAACGTCGAGTAACACTGCGCAAATGGACTTTGATGAAAATCCGTAACATAGAAATAGACTGCTGTTTGTGCGAATATTTGTTGAATATTTGTCAAATATAATTTTTCAATGTACGGATATAAGAACTTAATTTTAAGCGAAGATATTCTTGCTCAAAGTTTTTTAATAGCGTACTCGATTAGATGTATTTAGTGCGCATTCACTTGATTTTCTGTATTCAATTGATATTGAAAATAATACAGAAAAGTGAATGAGGACGCACTTAATGCGCGACCGTATACGTATTAGTGCATATAATCGAATTAGCTGTGAAAGAAACAAGGCACAATCTTTACTTTACTTTATATTTTAAATATTATACTTAATTGATTTTTTTTATTTATTTTGTTTTATCAATTGTGTCAAAAGATGAATAATTTACAGAATAGTCTGTTGATGCTAAAAATCAATTAAATGTATATTCAGTGGATCTTTTACAGTTTTAAAACTCCAACGCCGCGCTACTTTGCATTCGATAACCGTTACGAAAACAAGAAACATGTTGTTGACTGAACAAGGAAATTAACCCATGCTTAATAAAAATTTATGTTATTAACATAACTTGTGATCAGATGAAGAATTGTGGGAATTCTTCCTTATACATCTGTTTGTAACGTCATAAGTTACGTTTAATAGATGCTAATTGCATGTAAAACTAAAACAATGCGTAAAATCCACTCGCCATATTATTTGAAGCAGTAAAGCTAATAATCATAATATTGATTTCGATTGTTGCAAATATTGTGGGATTTAAATGACGACCATATAATATCATCAACAATATTATGTACATTAATTATGCAATAAATTCGGGATATCAAAAAGTACTTCTACGAAAATCAGGACAACCTTGCATACGCGTTTATACCTATATCGTGCAATTCAATTAGCCTCTGGCTCATCACTTGTCATTTTCACTCTACTGTCACCGTCGCGTACAACTATGTAACTTTATTGGATGAGACTTACGAGCAGCAGCATGATAATGACAAAATATTCTACGCATGACATCTAACAGAAATATTAGATAGTTAGATAGCTATCGTAATTTAACGTGTATTATGCTTTCTACCAAAATTTATACGTAAATTGAAACAAACATACAATTTATATTAAACATATTTTTTTCACATACTTTTCAAGCACGCTGATCACCCGATTTATATCGTAATCAAATTAGTTAATCAGAAAATTTATTTTACATACATTTAAATATATTAAATAACGGATTTCTCTTTCTATTATGATTAACATACAAAACGAATTTATGGTGTAGCATGTATGTGCATAATCTCTCTCTTCTTATACGAAATTAATAATTCATGTAAAAAGATATTTCTTAAACTCACATATACATAGAGAATTGATCGATTCTTACACTAAAAATATTCTTATATTATTACGAATACATATATTAAACAACGAAATTAAATTAACACGATTTAAAGTAATTTTGTTATAAATTTATAATTTTATCACTTAAAATTTATGTGTGCTTTAAAACAATCATCCGAGATTTAGGATAACAAAAGATACAGAACTCGTATCTGACCTTTAATAATCAATTTGAATTTATATCATGTAATCAAGAAAGTTTGCGTGCGATTTTCCTGCTAGGTTCCCTATCATTAATAAACATGGATTGAAGGCCGCCATCGAGTCTAATCTACAGGAAACTCGACAAATGCTTGCACAAAGCTTTGACGCTAATGATGAGACTTTCAGTATTATTTTTTATATACTTTCAGTTATTTTTTATAACAGTACACTCATGTTTTTCTTTTGCAATAAAAATCATACAAACTTTCTTGGTTATCTGATTTAAAAAGTTATTTAATTAAAATGACAACCCACGCATCATTCCTCTCTCGCAACGTTTTTCTTATATAATATCTAGACTTATCCTAAGATTTACTTGTATACTTGTCTCAGCTTAGCATTTCCAATTCCGCAAAGTTGGGGCTTAAATTTTTCCTGATCATCAGCGTGTATATGACAACTCGAGGTACGTTTATTTAAGCGCGCACAGCGAATAAAACGATACTGTGGAGATACAGCGAATGAGGCAAACGATCAGATAGTTACGGCTATTCCCCACTTACACGCACCTTCTCAGGTGAGTCCACGATATATCGACAGTTAAATCGCTATAGTAGGGATCGTGACGTTTATCGAATCCGCGTTGGCTATATCCGTGTCTAAGACGTGTCACGTTATCCTATCTTAATCATAGAGTCTTTAAGCCTTGTAATTATCTTGATTAACCATCGCCTATTATCCGCGGAATTACGGTCTTGATCTGTTCTATAATGCGTAAAGCTATCTATAACGATAATTTAGATAATCCCGAAGCAGCGGTAATTTACATTTTTTGATAACAAACAAGATGCGTCAACCTAAAAAAGATTCCTATGAACAGCGGAACGTATCATTCAAGGATATCCTTCAAGCGTGAGGTTAAAATGGAGATTAAAATTAACCGAAGAAAAATGATATGATCGAACGTTATAAATTATACGAAATATCATATTAGAAACGTTCTCAAATTAGATATATAGATTCAAATTTTGCCAAAGACATCGATGAAGCATCAATTTGATCAACATTAGATTTAATAGATAAACATAAAATTATAATTTACTGCAACTGATTTAGTAAAGTTGAATCTGATAATACGGAATTAACGTTATTCTAATGACAGCATTAACCAGAAACGGATATACCGGCTAGCCAAACGGCGATCGTCACATGCGAACTACAAACCGTACACGAGAGATGTGCAGAAATTATAGTGATTAATTAGAACAGAGCCGTTGCAACGGACGCGGACAGAATACCGATGGACATTAACTCCATTCTCTGGTTATAGCTTTCTGTCGATTTCCATAATTTTCGATTAATAAAACCATAAAATCATAGATAGACATTATGTGATCTTTAAATTAAAATTCATAAGCAAAAATATTATAAAACTGACATACTGTATTCGATCAATAGTTTTGGTACGAAACTAGGGCAGAGCTTTGTGAAGAGAAAGATTAACGAATTTCTGCCAACTGTGTTCATTAATCGTCAAGATTAACTGTGGATTATTCTACCAAATTCAGAGAAAGAATCTGCTTTTCACGTAATTATAATCTCATCGAACGTTTTAATGCTTTTTATATTTTTACTTCTCTATATTTATTAAATATATTTAACTATATTTAATATTTATTTTTTTAACTGTCAACACTGTTAACAAACTGTCAAATGACAAACTGTCAAACGACACGAATGAAGCAAGTCACACGAGTGAAACAAGCGCATGAACAAGACAACCAATCAAGATTGCGGAAAAGCGACAACAATGTCAATAACATGTCCTTTTTAAATTGGGATTATAACTATTATTTGGAACAATAAACAATCGCACTTTCTCTAGTGTATTATTAATAAAAGCAAGCCACATATATGTATATATATATATATGTTTAATGTAGGAAATATATATATATAATCATTTATAAAATTATAGAGAAATATATTCCCTCAGCAACGATCTTTTACATTTATTTATTACATTTGTAAATCACACTTGCCGATAATTGCATTCACATGCTGTCGATGTTATCACGGCGACTTGTGGTAATTAGCCGTAATTAATGTTCATACGTAAAATCCGCTTATGTATGTCGCGTCGTAAATCCATTCTGTTGTATATATTCGTTCTATGTTAAATAGTCTCTATCAAAATCGTTTCAGAATGTTCGACAAAGGTGTCTGAAATACACTGAACATTGAAATTGGGATAACGGATCTCATGTACTCAAAATGTGGAAAGCTTTACAAGAGTGGCATGTAAATATAACAAAATTTCTTTGGGAATTGCATTCGGCAACAAACTTTGGAAATCATCAAAGCGCTCTATCAATATCATTCCACGTTTACATCAAAATCATAAACGCGATTTCTATCTTCATTAAAATTAATTTTGCTGTAATAATTTTGACTTTTTATATTGTAAACTGCAAAGAAGCAATTATTTAAAATTGCTTGTATACTTTGTTAAAAGTTACTTTATTAAATTTTTCTTTTTATTGTGTAAGTTTTTTTTATGAAAAAGGATTAGTGATATATTACAAAAATGTTTTTAATTTCAACTTTGATGCAAATGATATCGTTGTTTGTAATATTAAAACATTCTAAATTATAAATTAAAACACACATATTAAATTTATATTTGGTTAAAACGTTAAAACAAATGTGTTGTTTAGTATATATCAACTAAAAAATAATGTAATAATCGCGTACACACGAGTTTGTTTTATATGTTACAACTTACATAGAAATTCCACTACAATGTATGATATCTCTCAGTTTGAAAACTAAATGACAGTTTTATAATTAAAAAAGTAAAGCTATTTATGTCCATAAATAAATTATGCACACGGCCACATCTACGGTCAGTTTGTTTACAGTGATGTAAGAGGCATGAAATAAATAAACATCACGTATATTATTTAAAAAGGCATATAAAGTTGATTATTAAAAAGTATCAAAGTTTATTGTTGCCTCTTTTCCATGATAGCGGTTATCTCGATATGCGCTATTTCGCATTATTTCGAGAAGAGAGTATCGAGAAAGAAATAAAGAGTTGTGTTACTAAACAAAAATCATATAATTTGACAGTCCAAATATTGAAAAAGATAATAGTGTATAAATAATTTTGTTCATTTGAAAAGAGTTTAATATTGAAAATTTTTTAAATACAGAGGAAATTACAATACATACATTTTGAATTTATCGTACTTCATCAAAAATCGTACTTTAAATAAAAATTCATATATATATATTTCATATCTATTAAAATTTGTATGTTTTAAAATAATATTTGTATTCATAATATTTGTACGTTTAAATGACATATTATATTGTAAACATACTCATACCACGTACACAACCGTGTTAATATACGACAAAATAAATTTTTAAACAAGTGGCTTCATATCCTAACACGTGTTTGTGAAAAAGGACGATAATAATTTCTACGTGTGTAAGAAATAAATTATATAATATTCCTATCGGTTGATATGGAATAATTTCTGCGTTAAAGATACGCATTACTCTCAACATGTCAGCACTAGGATGCTTCAATTACAAGCATCAGAGAATACGCAATGGATATATACTGCGACATATTTCGTGGCATGCATATGCTGCATATCAACTGGAATTGCAATGTCCGAGGGCAAGTTTCCTACCATTGAGACCGTAACACTTGTTAACGAGGAACGCGAGGAGATAGAGACCAGGACTGCGTTGTATATCTTGGAGATGTATAGAAGCGACTATGTATAATTTTACGAAAGTAATACAGAAACAATTATTGTGTGTGTGTGTGTGTGTGTTAAATACCATAATTTCACGCTTCGATATTTTGCTTAGTTCAATATTAGGAATATATGAGCTCAAATTTTTATCTTTTTTTAATTTATTTAATATTTTCCATATTTTTTACTTTCTCACAACATAAAAATGTCATATTTTAAACAAACGATGAGTAATTTCTTTTTTGAAATAAATATAAATTTTGAAACATTGTTAGCGTCGCTTTGAAATGCTGATTGTTACTAAACTCAATATTCTTGAAACATATGTAACAATTTAGATGCATTTTTATCTGTTCGATATTTTTGAATAATGCAGTTGCAATCCAGATTTGATGTATAACAACATAGCGATGCAACTAAAAGTAAAATGATATGCAACAGAAAATTATGCTTCAAAATTAATATTTAATGAAATATTATGAATCTCTCCCTCTCTCTCTCTCTCTCTCTCTCTCTCTCTCTCTCTCTCTCTCTCCCTCTCTCTCTCTCTCTTTCTGTATAAGCAATAATTATTTCTTAAAAAATACTTAAAGTTTAAAATAACGAAATTTAAAGTTTAATTATATTTCATTCGATGTTTTTTCGTTTGACTTTCCGACGATTTAAATATGATTCAAATTTAGAATGCATAATAAAATAACCAAATCGCAGGTCCGAGTAATTAAAATAACGATAAGCTCCGTAATATGTTAATTGTTTATTAAATAATTGATCTATAATTTAAAATATTTGTATAATTTAATATTTCGCTGGTATATAAGTCATAGTACGCAAAATATTTTCGGCTGCGAATTATCAATAACATGGTATTCGGTCTTGGCGGCGTAAACATTAGCACGCTATTGTTACGGCTTACGGCTTTGTTATCATTCATATAGCGACGCTCGAACAGTAAAGTAGTGGTGCGAGACGCTCCACTCGAATTCCTTTTCTAAACGCAATTGCGACAAGTATCGGGAAATAATTTGATATAATAAATATTAATTATCTTTTACATACCTTAAATAATACATAATTATATCGCAAAGATAAATCTCGAGGCGCGTATTTCACGTCATGTATATATATATAATCAAAAATCGAAGTAACAGGAATTAAAATTGTAAATTATTGTTTTGTCGCTATCCTTATCTTCCTTTAAATATTTTTGAATAAATAATTATTGCTTATAAAGTTCAATTATATTTCGTTCGACGCTTTATCGTACGACTTTTCGACGATTTAAATATGATTCGGATTGAGAATGCGCAATAAAATAGTCGATCGCAAGCCCGTGTAATTAACATAACGATAAGCTCCGTGATATATTAATCATTTATTAAATAAATAATGTATAATTTTAAATACTTGTATAATTTAATATTCCGCTTGTATATACATCATAGTACGGAAAATATTTCGACAGCAAATTATCAATAACATGGTATGCGGCCTTGGCGGTATAAACAATAGCGCGCTATTGTTTACGTGTTACGATCTTGTTATTATTCGCGGCCACACTTTAATAGTATTGTAATAGTTGGGGAAGACGCTCCGTCGAATTCCTTTCTCACTCCCACTTCTTATTTCTTATCATTTGCACGACGACATTTGAACAGTGATGTAGTAGTTCGAGACGCTCCGCCAAATTTCTTTCTTATATCGCAGCAATAAATTTCGAAGCGCGTATTTCTCGTAATTAATTTTTTTTAATTATAATTA